AGTTGGCAAAAGCTAGTCGAGCCTTCTGTATCCGTGCTGAGATTTCGTCACACACTAAACCACAAGGGCTGATGAGACTTCCAAGATAAGTGAAGCGGTCGACACACTCAACTACTTCACTCCCTATCACTAGTTCGGGTGTCGATGTAACCCAATCCTGAAGCAACATTTTGCATTTCGAGGGAGAGAATCGCATCCCGAACATGCTTGCATTGTTGCTTAGAGTGGTCAGAAGACTCTGCATTTTGTCAGCGTCTTCACCAAATAAAACTATGTCATCAGCATATTCTAAGTCAACAAGTGAACCTCCTGGTAGAAGTTCAACCCCTGTAAATTTAGATGAGGAGAGTGTTATCTCTAAAAGTACGTCAATGACAAAGTTGAACAAGAATGGGGAGAGTGGACAGCCCTGACGAACACCACTTGAGGTAATCAATTCTGATGACAGTTCGCCATAAGCTCTCACTCTACCAGTTGTGTTCGAGTAGAGAGCCTTTATAAGGTTAATGTACTTCTTTGGTACTCCTTTCAGTGACAAACACTGCCATAGAACCTCACGATCAATCGAGTCGAATGCCGCCTTAAGGTCGAGAAATACTACCATTGTGGGGCGTCTGAATGTGTGTCTGTGTTCTAGAACCTGACGTAGTGTGAATATCTGATCTATACAACCACGTCCAGGTCGAAAACCAGCCTGGTTTTCTCTAGTCTGCTCTTCACGAGCTTTAGTTAGGCGTCGAAGTATTATTGAAGCTAATATTTTAGACACTATATTAGTCAAACTGATTCCTCTGTGATTGTCACAAGAGGACTTTTGTCCTTTCTTAAAAACTGGCACAATCAGTGATTGAGACCAGTCAGATGGGATTACGTCCAGTTCCCAAATTCTACCTAAGACCTCAGTTAATCTCATTGCTAATACTGGACCACCATCCTTAAAAATCTCAGGAGTAAACCTGTCAGGGCCTGCTGCTCTCCCTCGTTTCAGATTTCCTATGGCTTTTTCAACTTCGTAAAGGGACGGAGGACCTACATTAACTTGCCATTCAGGTTGACTGGAGATCGTGGGAAACCGAAGTGTGGCTGAAGGCCAGTTGAACTGATCCCTAAAGTGTTCTGCCCATCGATCCAATCTCCTGGATTGAGAATGAATAATATGTCCATCTTTCTCTGAGATTGTTTCGCTAACGGTCGGGTTCCTAATTCCGGTTTCCTTAACGAGTCTGAACAATTGTCTGCTATTACCTATTGCCGCTGCCTTTTCCATCTCTCTTGCTTTCGCTACCCACCACTGTTCGCGATCATTGCGTAGACTTCTTGTCAGCTTGCGCTTAAGCTGACTCCGCTCTTCATTATGTTCAGAGCCAGGTGGAATGTGTTTCCGAGCATCTATCAGTGAGATAGATGCTGCTGAGATCCAGTGTTGCTCCCTAACCTTCTGGTTTACCTTACTAGCAGATATCACTGCTGTTTCCACAGCTTTTCGGATATCATTCCATGCTGCATCGGGGTGGGCATCACATACATGGCTGCCTAACTGTTTTCCTAGTTGTTCCTGAAATATACTCTTAGCTTGACTATCATTAAGTAGGGCCCTAAGAGGTTTCCTTGCAGCGTCTTTCCTACGTCCAGTAAGACGCAAGCAAATACGCGCTCGCACTAGAGCATGATCTGAATCTAGGCATGTGCTCCAGAATGAGCGACAGTCTTCTATCGAGCCCCTCCATCGGTGGCTGATAGCGATGTGATCTATTTGGGTCCAACGTTGGGACGAATTAGGGGGTCGCCATGTTAAAAGATGTTTTTCCTTATGCTTAAAGTTAGTATTTGCAAGGAACAGGCGGTTATCTGAGCATAGCTGCAACAGACGGTCGCCATTATCTGTTCTTTGAGCCACGACACCATAAGATCCACCTAGGTGTCTTTCCTTATCGCTTAGTTTGCCTACTTGAGCATTAAAGTCACCGGCCACTATTACTACATCCGAGCGCCTAGCTTTTCGGAGAAGGTCCGAAAGCTTTCTGTAAAACTCATCTTTTACATCATCTGAGCTGCAGTCAGTGGGAGAATAGGCAGAGACGACGAAGAGGCAACGACGAGTGTCCCTATCTTTCCGGATTCTTACTGTTCCGTTCAGTCGGACAGCGCACAAACGACTGTCTATTGGGATCCACTCTAAGAGAGCTAGTTCTCCCCTAGGATTCACCTAGGGGAGTTGGAAAACCCTGATTCCAAACCAATGGCACACATGGGCTCCACTATCCTGAGGGAACAAATGGCGTATGAACCTACTGTTGGTCACCGGCTACCATGGGACTACATCTCTTGATGTTGCCCCACTGCCTTATGGATCAGACCTTTAGGTCGAAGGCCCCAGGCGTGGCCCCCTAAGGAAACCACCAGTTTCGGTCTGGGCACCAGGGCAGAATCACAGCTCACACACAAATCAAGTGCCTTGTGTGGCGCATATCTATTCGGTGCCCCTTTGTACCAATATTTCTGTATTTAAATAAATAAATAAATATAAACTCAGCAAGTATGTAAGCTTGAATTTATATAAAAACAGCCAAATTCTGACCCTATGTCAACAGAATTAAGGAATTACAAAATGGTTATAACTTTGCCATAAGTGGAAGAGGACTGAGTGATAGGTTGGTAATAAATTAACAATAACTTGGGAAAGCTAAGACACAAGACAGTAGGTGAGTCAAGCGAAAGCTTACATGTAGGGGAATACAAATATATGGTAGTTTAAGTACTAAATAATTATACAACAAAAATATAAACCATAATTGTAGGTGGGACTGTTTCGAAACCTCACTACTGTTTAATACTTAACCCGACATAGTACATATCATTTAAGCTTCGCACAATTACGATAAACCAGTAATAGGATCGAAATGATGGTATGTAGTTCAAAAACAGAACTGATACGTAAAAATAGTAAGATGTCCGAGATTCAAAGTGAGACAATGAGTGGACCTATCTGTTCCGCTGGGATATACCATGAAGGGTTTTATTCATGTCTAATATTGTGAAAACTAGATACAGACAGCTCAGTACACTGTTTGGATCTTCATTTAATAACCACGTGCATTGACTCAATATCTCATATTACGACTTTGAGACCTATTGAAGTAACTATATTTGAGACTGAAACATTTACACATTTTAAATATTGTTGATTGGAAATTGAGATGCTTTACATACATGACGTATCTTTTAAAGAGTAATTGTTTGAACTGAAACCAGAACTTTTACTTAGCTTATGTTTTTATTACGCTAACTCCTGCTTATAGTTGATATGATATAAACTAATATTAAGAAGCTACCGGTTCAAATGTTCCTGTGACCTAAAGTTTCTTTATGCCTCGATCACAATTAGTCTAGCAAGGAATCAAGGTTGTTTGTGATAATCTAAATAAAAATTACTACATATCACGTAATGACCGTTACATGAAACTTGTATATATGTGATCTTTTCGGGAATACACTTAGTATCATACTAAGACGTTAGCAGTTAGATGTAGCAACTCTAAACTCACCAAATTAATATCAGGGTGAACCAATTACAAATACAAACAAAGGAGATATTTAGAACAACATATATAAGCGAACAATATTGTTTTCGATTAGATCCTCATCAGGCTTTACTCTAATATACAGCAATATTTATATGCATATACGAAATTATTAAACCAATCAAGGTAGTTTATAAGTCAATGATAACAATGGAAAAGATTACATAATAAGTAAAATGTGAAAAGTACAAATTGATGGTGTGACAACAGGTGCATTAGTTTTTGATAAGCAATAATAATAAAGGTTCAAATCAATGTTACATAATCTGAAATAGGTCAATGATTAGAAAAATATAGAAACTGAGATAACAATTATAAAATTATAAGATGACGTAATAAGAAATGTTCAGATAATTGGACCATGAAACGTATAGTTGAGAGAAAATAAAGTGGTAGGAGGGTGTGAAGAAAAATAATAAACGAAGAGAATAAATAAATAAATAAATACATTCATTTATTACTTAAGGCCAAGGGAGAGATAAGGGAGTTACAAATTTCTTCTGGACACAAAGACTTGGCTTGTTGGCTCGGATTCCTATAGCTTCTGCTATGTGTAAGAGACGAGATCGAACACCATAAGGAAAACTAGTGGGAATCCGATAAATAACTTTGAACGACTTGTTTCTGTCCACTATATGACCGCTATCGATCAAGTGTGATAGAACCGAGCTGCGTATTGTTTTGACATAGCCTTTTCCTAACCACGAAGGGAGGTGTTCACTAACTCGTTGGTTCAGTTGCCTGGTAGTGCGCCCGATATAGCTTTCTCCACAGGAGCAGCTGAATTCGTAGATACACATAGAAGTGGCATAACCAGGTAACTTATCCTTCAATTGCGGAATCACCATCGATCGGGTCGAATACGATAGGCAGAGGTTGGCAGCATTAAACGTTCTCTTTACTGATTTAGTCAATCTATCTCGTAATACATCGCTAGCCACATCACCATTGAATTGCAGTTTCAAGAAAAGTGGTTTCTTATTAGCCGTCAGGGTCACTATTTTCCTTTTTTTACGCGCAAGTGTTTCTTCAGGAAACCCAGTGGATATCCTAGTTCAATCAAAATATTATGAATGTGTTGTAATTCTCTATCGATAGTGTCGACTGAGCATATCTTAAGAGCTCTATTTGCAAGGCATTTGACTAAGTTTCGTATATGCATATAAATATTGCTGTATATTAGAGTAAAGCCTGATGAGGATCTAATCGAAAACAATATTGTTCGCTTATATATGTTGTTCTAAATTTACAATATGGGAATATTTCAAATTTTGAAGTCACGACTTAAAGTTGTGGCTATAAAGTGGGGATGGAAATAGACCATTTGAGCACAACTGTTTGTATAATTAGGTATTTCTTTTTAAAAACTAATCAACATGTCATGAATTAATTTTCATATAATATAAACACCTTACTTACCTTCTCCAGTGACAAATATTACATTCCCGTAAACAGTGTGTGTGACCAGAGTATGGATAAGATTTGGGGTTAACAGTGACCTATCAATTTTAAAAGTATCAAAGGAACAATAAGAAAGGCTGTTACTAACTAACAATTGACGGAATAATATAGAAGTATGGAAATGAACACTACATTTTATGAGCTGGGAAAACAATGAATTTATACATCAATCATATTTTGACACATTTCACATTTTCTTATTGCTTTTATTATATGAACATTATCCAATGTTAGATTTTGTTTGCTCAATAAAGAATCGAAAGAAAATGAATAATCATATCATGAAATTCAGAAAAATGCTTCAAATCTGCCCGAGTAAATACATTGAGAAAATTAATTTTTGAGCTAAAGACTTGCTGTGATTTAAAGCATTTTAACTGTTGCAAAAAGAGAAAATGGTATACTATACTTCAATTTGTTTAAGGAAAGAGGCTTAAGAATATAACAGTTGACCTTTCCTGTAATCTAAAAATCTCCTATGATGCAACAAGTAATCATTAAGTTGCATTATTTATTTATTTAAATACAGAAATATTGGTACAAAGGGGTACCGAATAGATATGCGCCACACAAGGCACTTGATTTGTGTGTGAGCTGTGATTCTGCCCTGGTGCCCAGACCAAAACTGGTGGTTTCCTTAGGGGGCCACGCCTGGGGCCTTCGACCTAAAGGTCTGATCCATAAGGCAGTGGGGCAACATCAAGAGATGTAGTCCCATGGTAGCCGGTGACCAACAGTAGGTTCATACGCCATTTGTTCCCTCAGGATAGTGGAGCCCATGTGTGCCATTGGTTTGGAATCAGGGTTTTCCAACTCCCCTAGGTGAATCCTCAATACCCACTGGCCCGGTTAAAGCGCCGGACATTCGCTTTTTGTCTTCTCGATTTCGTAAACAATACCCCACCGCGAGAAGGCAATAAGTGGAACTTTCCTGGCAGTGGTTGTATGCACGTGGTAATGTGAGAGCATTTCGAGAGGGAGGGCTGACTCTTCCCATCCTCGGCCGTACCAAGGTATTTAGAGGCTTTAATCAAATTAGACCTTCATTACAGTAGGATAAGTTTCAAAACTAAAATAAACAGACATTCATCTGCAGTTTAGGAGTGATACTTAGTTATCGAGGAAACAAAATTTTTAGCTTCTACACAATCCTCAAAATTACTTGATAAAAAATGGCAAATATGTAAATGTTTATGTAGGTGAAAATATTCAGTAATGTTTCGTAACCTCAGACTTAAATAATAGGTGAAATCGGTACTCCAAGAAACTAAAGCTAAAGTGCTGGTCTACTAAAAGGGTTCAGAGCGATGAAGCTGAAAATCTAAAGACCATATTAAGTACTTTTTACTCTATATTATCCATCCAATTTGTAAAGCATCGGATTATACCAAACAATCATATCGTATATCACATTTTGTTGCTATATATTTGATAGAAAACAGGTGAGACATATTTTCTTCATGAAGTTTCCCAGTGCAATAAACAAACTTGGATCAACTTGAGATCAATTACTGGCTTAAGTGAATGCAAATATTCACACCCAGATACATAAAGATCTCTTTCAACAGTAATAAAAAAGACACGTAAGGAAAATAATTAAATGATGCCCTATCCACATATCTTCTACTAAATGATATTCAGCATCTACAAAACTAAGAAGACAGCTGCACTAACGAAATATAAAAAACACTACAAAAAGCATATCGAAGCTAATGTGACCATTTTATTCCTCTGATAAATGAAAAAAGATAATATTTATATGGCTTATAATGCAGAAACAAGTAGAAATCATTTAACTTCTACTAACTAATAAAGATTTAATTGATATTTACATAGGACTTACATTAATACTATTAAGAGAAGTGCACTGATATGTTGCTACAGGATGGCTAGACAAACGCCGTCTTGGATGCATAGAAACCCTGACATAATTTGGGGGGAAAAAGTAAATTTCAGCACTACTTGAAATAACTGTAAAAGGGAAGGTTTGTGATAAAAGTGTGAACTTATCATTACTCTCAAGCAAAAAGTAATTATTTCTTTATTATCCATAGGGCCTTTATCACATAACTTAGTAGATTAGCTATTATTCAGATTCGCAGAATCGGTTATCATGGTAGCTAACATTATTTGCCAGGTACGTTTATAAACTTGCCTTTAGGCAACGCATCACATGCATGAGAGCCAGTGATACGATTTGATCCCACAAACCAAAATGGTTGGTAAGGTACTCTAGCTTGAGACAATGGTTGAAAGGTGAGTGCTTAAAGACACCGTCTAACCTATAGACTTCAAATATCAGCACAATAATAGGCATAAATATTTCATATTCCCATCAGACATCGTTGAAGGATAGATAGAAGACTGCTGCTCACGCTGGAGCGTACGCATAGAATTTGATCATGCACTAGTGGAAGCAAGACTTTTCAGGTGTTTTACTGGGCGTACGAATGCTACAGCAAGAAGATCAGCTAGATGTTATTTCGGAGATGAAAAGGTCAAAGATATATTCACGGAAGTATCAGCTAAATACCTAGTCGATAGTAAAGGAATGGTCCAGCTTGAAGAAGCTGGGAACGATATCCAGGCAGCTGTCAATACAGCAGTGATATCAAACGGCAACTTAGGAAAGACCAGGTGGCATTCACTAAACTGACAGAGGCTCGGAGAGCGATGAAGAGCGACAACTCAGATATAAAAAAACGAAAAGTTTATGCTACGATCGTGAGCAGTGGTAGGCGACGAAAGTAAAGAAGACGGGAAAAGCAGAGTTAATAGTAGACAACTGTTCAGAGTTAATATGAAAGTGGGTATTAAAAAGATAGATGTTAGTGAGACTATCTTGGAAAAGGATGGAACTATTATTCACTATTAATCTAGATTAGATAAACGGGCAGAACACTAGGAAATAGACCAATTGACCTCCAGCTACTCTTTAGTTACTCTCCAAGCCCAATCAACTTGAATAGCAAATCGACACAAACTCTTCAACTCTTAATGATGTTGGAAGGGATATAGGTCATCTAAAACTAGGGAGACCGACAGGCTCTGAAAGGTTAACTAGTGTCTGAAATATTAGGTTTTATAGGCCTTGATCCCTTATCTAGGGCCCGTAAAGAGCAAAACCTGGAAAACCAAGCTAGTCTTGGACCTGAATGTGGATATGCAAACCAAATATTCACTTTTCATCAGGTGCTAGAACATAAGCATACTCGCAGGAACTCGACTCTGAAAAGAGTTTCTAGACCTTGAGGTGGCACGCGATTATGTCGTTAGAGAGGTTCTGTGGCAATGTTATCATTGAAAGGCCTACCAAAGAAGCCCAAAATCCTTGAAAGGGCTGTCTACTCAGAAACTATTGACTGAGTCAGCGTTTATAAAGCCATGTCATCTTTAAACGGCGTTCGTCAGGGGTGCCTAATATCTCCATTTTTATGTAACTTTTTGATAGATATTATATTAGCAATAACACCTTTAACAAACTTTTCAGGGCTTTATTTCTTATTAGGAGTTACATTTATTAACTACGAATACGGCTGAGACGTAGGTGCATTATTGAAGACGCTGACAAAAAAGCCGTCGCTTGATTGCCTGGAGCAACAATGCAAACATGTTTGTGATATGTTTCTCTCCCTGTAAATCTAAAACATTACTTCGGGACCGGTCTGCGTCAACACATGGACAAGCGATATGCAGTGAAGTATTGAACTGCACTGGCCACTTCACTTTTGTTGAGAATCTTATCGCCCCTCATTGATTGATGTCTGACGAAATCTCGGCATGAATTTAGAAAGGTAGTGAATCCTCACCGACTGAGTTGTTAAGATATGCATCACGTATACCCATTCACTAATTACCCTGATGAGTGGTGGTTGCTAGTGTAGGAGTAGATTAAAAGAGATCTAAGGCGGCCAAATCAAAACATGAAGTCAGTTCATGAATTCACTGACTATTGGTTTGAGAAATGTAGGTTAGGGTCCACGAGATAACCACGATTAGTGATTGGAGGCTTTGGATGACATGGAGCTAAATCGTTCGCAATGACCCAGATGCATTCATTCCATATCTTACTTTTATATTGAATCCCAAAATCTCTCGTTACATACGCTTCCCGATTAATACTAATACTAAATAACCATTTAAACATGATTGGATAGATGCTTAGTATAAAACTGATTTCAACCTTATTTATTTTTGATAATTTTGACCATCTTCCTATAAAGGCTTCAAGCATACTACTGGGTGGAACTTTTGAATTACTTAGAATTTTGATTGCTGAGATTATTACAAACATAATTGTACATATGTTTGCGATACATTTGATGCACAATGTTTGTTGAGCTTTTCGTTCAAATGAGTTGAAATATGGTATCCAAAACACGTACGCAGACATTTGAAAATGGACATATAGTTAGTAAAACATTAGACTACTAAAATTTTCAAAGACAGACATAATCTTATGATTGATAATCAAGTGCATTGCAGCACCGCACTTCTGCCTAAACATTAACAATGTGTTATTTTGATGAGCTATGAATATTATTTCAATTTTCTTGCTTTCATCAAGGATTGACTTTAGATGGCGAACTATTGTAAATCAGAGACAATAAAGTGCTTTCGCCACTGTTTGCGACTCCTCGATAGTACATACACATGGACACTGTCGGTGAATGAAGCTAAGATACCGTCATACGTATATTTCGACTGTCTTTTTAAACAATAATCTCAATGCTTAATCTGTCCCATTTCCATTGCTACTACATTATTTCGATCTCCTTTGTTATTTAGCTTGCTAATTTCATTTCGTCGTGCTAATATGCCATGGTAAATTAGTCCATGTTTATAATAACTGATGACTCTAATATACGTTCGTACTCTATTTTTCAACTGGTTTTCTTCTGGAATTCCTGTATATACAGATAACTAATATCATGAACTTTAAACGTATTTACAATAATCAACAACACCCACCATTTTTTTCTATCATTGACTGAATCAACATGAATTTCCTCCTTTACTTTTTTTGAACTTTCATCTGAATTAATCTTCATCTATTCAAAAAAAATATAAAGCATTAGGTTAAGGAATAGTATGAACATATATATCGCTACCAAGCCGACTATCACAATATGACAAAGAGTGAAGTGCAATATAATAAGCAAGGTGGAATACTCGTCCAACAGAAACACATGAGTTTTGGTTTAAAAGTTGTCCCATAGTTTAATAAGACCGATAAAGATAGGGGACTATAGGAAGTTTGAGTCTTTAGATAAGGACTTTAACTGCTTAATCAACTCTCGTTTTCAGTTAAATCAGTAAGTACGTTTATTTATGTGCTTGTCATTAGACAATACCAAAGCAGAAGGTAGTCCAGCATTTTCCCTACAAAGATCACACAAACTGTGTAGACAATGACTAATTCAGCTATTCTATGTAATCGTCCATCTGAATTATAACATCAACTTGATTAGCCTTAACATATGATAAAAATGTCCAGACAAATATTTTTTTGGTCAACAAATATATTCAGTCTACGAAATTCGAAACACATGGAAGGTTAATTCTTAATGCTTCATATCAAATCAAACACCGACAAGCAAACGATAATTTATTCGGAGTTATTAGTACGACAAAAGTGAGAAATGCACTGAAACGTACACAACCTTTCCTTCAAGATGTTTAAAATGTTGTGAATTTTGTCAAAGCTTCTGCTACACAAGAATATTCAATCTGAAAACGTTATTTTAACAATCTCTGTATGCTGATAAAAACTTGAAAAGGAATGTTTGAGGTGAGTATTCTAGTTAGCAAACACGGTGGCTGTCAATAAACCTTTATGAAACCACATGAATTTAAGTAAGAGAAACTGAAGAGCACTGGATCCGAATGACAACGTATTTAGAAAACTATAATTGAGGTGGGAACACGCCTCACTGTCAACAAGCAATAAGCTAATATACCAAGCACTGTTACCGTGATTTGGCTGTTGTTAGCAGAAATGGTCATAAGAATACTATTCCTACTAACATGACAAAACAAGTAAATAAGTGGCCAAACATGGTTAAGAAGAGTTTTGAGGTACACAATTATGACGATGTAAAGTGCAATACTACCTGTGCTACAGTATTCCTGGTAGTCAGTTTGTTGGACGAGGGCGGTGAATCTATCATAGGAACTTCATCATTAACCCACCTATCCAGATTTTTGGTAGGAGAAATGATCGCAGCATTTTGAGTCGCATTTGAGTAGACACGACTGGTAACAGGGTGGATAGGATTACATAAAGAAATAGTCTGGTCAGAATCGCACTTTTTAGAGCAATCAGAGGGATCGATAAGTGAAGCTAAACAAGTTAGGCGTCTCCAGTCTGCTTGATAAACTGCGGCTTGATTAGTATGTTCAATCATATCACATAAGTCAGTAGCACGGTTGGATAGGAAAAGGTGACTTCCAGGAGCTTCAGGGTGATCAGGGAAGGCAGTGAGAAAAAAGAGTGATGGAGGGTCAGTGAAGCTTCCTCTTACAGCGTTCTGAACACGGGCAGTACCACACTGCACTATTTCATCATTATCAAAAGTCCATGTTGCTAAGAGACGAGGATGGGAACAACCTGGACCCGTAGTGAAACATATACGATCACGTGTCACATGTAAATAGCCATCGCTTGAATTACTGCATAATGTAGGATATAATTTTCTTAAAGATGAGAAAATCTGGTTTTTAGGTCGTTGAATGAGAGGAAAACGTCTCCTATGACGTGCATAACTATACAAAATGCTGTTTCTAGGAGCAACAATCAAATCTGCATGAAAATATGAACCTATAAGGAGCACAAAAAACAGTAAATCAACTTAAGAAACTGACATAAAGGAAACGTATTTTAAAAGCAGCTAGTAAGATAGTCATAAACCGATTCATACACTGATACCCACAATGAATAGATTATTTTTAAACGAAGTGGTTGTCTCATAGGATGCATGTTTGTTGATAAAAGCCGAATTAAACTAATGACAATCAGTGACGATTTTTGCAGTAGAAAGTCATCTTCATTACTAGGAAAAATTAAATTTTACAGCTCGACACCAAAATGTTGGAAATTATGTCGAAAACTAAAAGCATAAAAGAAAACGTTATACCAAAACTGTTCAGTCTTGGTTCCAAGTGATCATCATTCTAACGAAGGCAAAAATAGTGTTTCCTATTCTCATATCCATTAAGCTAAGTAATTATTCAGAATCAATCAATTAAAAATATTTAAGTATTGAGACAGCCTGTTTACATATACTGAATGTTGGTGACAGGCCATTGAATCATGTTGCCAAAAATCAGTACATAAACTAACAAGGCTAATACGAATGACAGCTGTTTCGTTATAGGTTCTTTACCAGTTGACTCTAAAATAATGACTGAGATCGTGCTTCACAGACCAAAAAACTCGTGGAATAATGACTGACGACGAACAGGCTGAGTTCGAGCATGTTGTGGACGACCCGTACATATACTTACGAAGTCTATTAAATGATTGAACATTGTAAGAGGCTGATTGCTAAACATTATAGTATCACCCGACATAGTAATTGCATTTGATTTGTTGGAAATGACTGTGATATCAGATTGCTGAATAGGCATTTGGGCAGTTCAGTAAAACCTTGAAGGTTTATATATTTTCATTACTAGAATACAACAGCGAAGTTGGAAGGAACGATGAGTCTAGCGATCTCCTCCACACTTTTATCGATAAAGTGGGGTATTATGTTAAGCAAAAGTGGGAAGTACATATGCATACAAACGGAGACAACTAGATCGAATTTGTTCGAAGTACTCTTTTAGTCATATGTTTCGGAAGGTTGTCCATAATTAAACATTTAAAGACAATATTAAACAATTAGCATGAGTACCTATGTCAGAGCAAGTAAGGTTATACTCAATGATCTAAAGTTATGTGCGCAGACGCCAACCGTTAGCGAAAGAAAACTAAGGACCATATATGAGAGCTCGAAAACTTGACTTACATTTCAAATTAGCTTTTAATATGTCATCCCATTTAGTCATCTCCTCGAAATGTCGAAATGATATACAACGTAACTTGTAGGTACATACGAACATAATTACTCCGTCATGCTTGGAGTCTACTCCAAGAATGTAGGCATGAACATCTTGGCATCGACATATACTCCCATCGTCGTTAAATACGAATAACTTTAGTGAGTCTAAACTGGGTCAGAACAACACTAATTTACTTATAAATGTTGCAGGTCTCTCAAGCGCGCAGAGCTTTTTCTTCCACTAGTAAGTTCTAGTTATATAGTAAAAACAGAGTCTACCTTGCCACTAACTCTAACCGGTACAATGCCTTCGATTAGGCGTCCAATACTGATCATTTTATCAGGTTTGGGGATCAAGGTCATCAGAACGAAAAGCCGCCTGCAACTTTCAATCCTCAATAGTAAAATTAGTTGGTCGTATCTCTTTTGTTAATTATTACAGTATGTTTTTATAGTTGAGACGTAGTTTTATTTTGGGGGGTTTATACATGGAACCAATATTACTTGTTCTCATAGGGTGTTCCGATCGTTGGTTGCCGAATGGAAAGGACGAAATATAGGGGTAAACAACATCAAAATATAAACGGTTTATCAAACTTTTGAAACCGAGCTTGGTCTTGCTGGTTTGAACGTGAACTACTGTCAATAAGAACTTAACTAGACGTCGTCATTATATCGCAGAAATGCTGTCGCGAGACGAACTCCTACTCTAAATGGTTTGCTAAGCAACTTATCCGTTTATTTCAAACTCTATTCTTATATCTTCTTTTCGTCAGCCTATGATGCTCTACACGTGAGTTCCCTCAGTATATTCCTTTGTTCAGTTTTGCATCCATCTAGCTTTCTGTTGACCGTTTTCCATTACTACGTTGACCTATAATTACTTCAGACTTGTCGAGTAGTTTACACTCTGGACAGTTTGTATCCATATCAGTACAATGAAGATTAGGTCAATGTAATGCAGTCCAGGGTGTATTTCACCTTACTTCAAATGCTGCATATTACATTGCCAGTGTCATTTCTATTTTAATACAATTTCTGGTGGTTCTAAATGCCAGTGCCTATGTAAATCCGGTTTATTACAAAGACGTCTAATTCTGATGTTGTTTCTATACCACTGTTATTTTAGTCCAGTTGTATCCGCCCAGCCCTGTTATAATTTGATTGCTGATTACTCCTGTATGTGTTAGTTAAATATATGACTGAAATATATATTCGGGAAAATTGATATTCTATTTCTTGCCTAATTCGTTGGTCTTCGGTATTCAAGTTTGAAGATAACGAATACAACAATCCCCTTATTATCTTTCTGGTTCGTTTCCGAAGAACCAATTTTATACCGTTGTAAGGTCGTCATCATCTGATTTTACAGTTTACAGCGGACCTTCGTGAAACCAGATTTTAATATTCTTAATAATATTGTAACCCTATCATATCCTTCATATTTATCATATCTGTTTTGTTCTTCTGGTTTTATACCATGGTTGTAATGATTCAGCACATTCGAAGTAATCAGAGTGAAAATCCCTGTCACTAATATTTTGAATAACCCCAGTAGAAACAGGATTCAATAATGTTTAAATAGTAATCAATATATCTAACCAGTTTCTTAGATATTTACTGAATGATAAATTGACTTGATAGCAAAAAAGAAGAGAAAAAATATATCTCAATAAGTTGGAAAGTCTTTTGTGTTAACTTACGCTTGAGAGGGAACGAAAACAACGGAGTGTGTTGGAAGTGATACTGATTATCAACCATACGATCTTTGAAGCTGAACACAATTTCCATATTAAACATATTATTCTATATCCAACCCGAATGTGTGCTTTATCAGTTCTTGATATTATATTAGTGGCTGTCGCGATGGGACTAGTCAGTATAGGCAATACTGTGAGTTCCACGTGAGACCTTATACATTAGGCAGTCACATCGTTACAAATCATTCGTGCCAGTAGGTAACCCTCGTTCTGTTGATAGAAGAAACCAGACTGGTAGTGAACAGGTCTTTATGTAGCTCGTGTGACAGTCACAGTAGATCTGGAGGTTACTTGCTCAAACACACAAATCTTTTCAATGTTCAATATAAGACAGTAGAAAATTTAGTGTCTCTAGGAGATAAGAAAGAAAATGGATACTTGAGCCCCATTATTTTGACATTTGCTTATTTGTTTGAGCTCAACTCTTTACTAATAAACCTTAGTCGTTAAAATTTACAATTTTTGAGATTAGGTCCATCATTCTAGTAGTGTAGACAAATTCACTTCATACGGACCTAAACCATAATTCAACATACTCTCTACTTAAAAATCCTCATAACAGATACATCCAATCAGTTTCTTTTCATCTGGATATCTTGATTCGTCTAAATCATTTAAAAGAGTTAAACTTTGAGGTGCGTTTAATCGGATGACAAGTTCTAAATGGAATGCTTCAAAGTATTAAATTTGAATATATCCCGGCGACAGAAGTGACGATTCACAGATTTTAAATATTATGAAGTCGTCACAAACTGAAATTCGTCACCTTGGGAAAACAGGCACTCAGATATACTCCGGCAATAACCATAGTTGGTGGCAGCATTCGAGTGTAATGAATAGTGCTCGCTATCTGATCAGTGTTGAAAGCGTTCAGGGTGTTTTCAAAAGCGTTTCAGCAAGCACCATTCGGTCCACAAGGGATCAACTAATAAACCTACAAGAAAATGAAAATCCGAACATTTTGAAATGTTTAGAACTGATCACCAATAAGGGACTTCTCCATTCACCGATTTCTACTCTGTTATCGGCGGCTTCGTATGTGACTATTTGTAAGATCATTTTAATGAATTTATGCGCGACAGTGTGCTACGTGCTTCCTGTTTGTTATATGGTAAGATAATTTGTTTCTAACTTGTGAGTAACAACATAAATTTCTCTTTGCAGTACGCTAGGTTGAATCCTTCTTACTCTAAATCGAAACTTTACTTTAAGACACTAGTCACAACTGTAATAAAACCACTCAACTGCAAGGTAATGACTTGATGGGACGAATTCACCAACTGTTAAATGCCTCTCATTCAATTAATAATAAACAAAACCGAACAGAGTCACTTCCAATAGCCTGACTCTAGAAACTTAGGGTATCGGAATTCGATACTAGATGACCTAGGTCCAACCTCGCTTGTCAGCAAATCTTTTCGTATTCACTTCCAAAAAAGGTTTTGACTTGTGTTCACGTATTTTTTTACCTCTTTCAAGAATCCTGTTAATGATGATTAGAGCTATGAAACAAGCCCACCATGCAAAATTGATCTTCTTTTCATTGATTGAACTGCCTGTCCAAACATAGATAAATAATCTGATCAACTTTCAAAGGCATGATAACCATCAGTAATCCAGTCGTATCTAAACGCCCTGGTGTCATGGTAACTATGAAATTCCGGAACTGGTCGGGGTAGTAGATGATTAAGGGTCTTTCAGTTCCAACTTTTGAACATATTTGTGATAACTTCTGAAATGAATACTCCCGAGTGAAGCGAAATGTAAGACGTGTATCAATTAATCTGGATGTCTTTTGAATCTTGGGAAAAGTGTGTAAGACCTAAGCACGCTGTTCGACCCCAGTCTTTGATGCAGATGCACTATTGGAAACTATAGAGGCTGTAACGAGTTAATACCTCAGCCATGAAATAAAGACAACTGGGAGGCAAACGACAGATACTACACTGGTATTAGATGCTAGCTTCATTGGACACATGCTCAGAACAGATACTTTCAAAATTATCTACATGATGTTTGATAGATCCCTTCGAGTCATCAGAATGCTAGAAGAAAGGTAGCCGACAAATTTATGGTTTCGTTTTAGATCTCATCATTATTTCTTAAAACCCCACTGGATGAAAATATGCAAATCATAAGTGAACACAGGGACGCCCTTAACTTACCAGAAGATGAGTTCAACCAGCTATTAATACTATCCACTATAGATATACAGTTTACATTTCAAAAAATTTTCACCACTGAGTTCAAAGAAGTTTCATAGCTGGACCACTAATGACGGTCCAGCAGATTGATTTAAGGGCAACACAGGATGAACAAAAAGAACTCAAGCACTAGACGTAACGGTACTTCAGGAATTATTACGACACATACATTGTTTGAAATAGTTATAAACATGCTTCTCGCGTATCAAATCTGCTGAATAAAGTGTAGTTTATGCGAATTTTAAAATTGAACGAAAATATTTTGGTCTCAACACTGATAACTAGCTCAGTATGGAATGCCATGAGGTTGGGTCTATTCGTTGAGGGGCACCTGAAGAGGGAGTTATGTGAATTGCTGAAATTTCTGCCTTACAAACAATTATACGGTTTCCGTTAGATTACTATCCATACGTGTTTTGAGAAAAGCTTTCGGGATAGAAGGTAAAAGAATTACCAAATAGAATTCACGAGTGTCTGAAGGACAACAGCAATCCACAAAAGTTTATCAGTAAGTGCGAAAAACAAGAAAAAGGGAAACGAAAACTTGTAGAATTATGGTCTACTATGGTATTAGTACTGCTCTAATAATAGACCTAATCCTAAAATTGTAGATTTGTCATGATATAACTGCCTAATCTATAAGATCTTACGTGGAAGTCACACCATCGACTACACCAACTCACTGTATCGTATCAATTACCAATACATGATGTAGAACAAGGTTAGGCTAGAGAAGGAACAATATATTTAATATGAATAGAAGATATAAGGTAATATTCAGATGGACCACGCCTGCATGGCCGAGCCATGCCATCGATCAACCCCAGTCCATTCAATTCATTGTTCGCGCCTTCTCCATTGTTAGGTATTTCTCCGCGTTAAATATTGAATATCTATTTTCTGAGTAGTCTCGTGTTCACAGCTTTGTGGATTGTGTGGCTATTGTCCAATGCCACTACACTACTCTCCCACCAGAATCAACGTGATGTTGGTTCGATACCAAATTGGATGGGATCGTCGCGCGCCGGAGGTTACCAAGGATAATAAGAATCCTCCGGGTATTGGTAAGCTGAAAGATAAATCAAAAAGAAGCGGCAGCATCTGGTCGGGAAATACATGTAATAATTTTAAAATATCTGCCTTCATGCTTAAAACGCTTGAAATGAGAATTTGGGTGAAGATTATTTGAACTATAAAGAATGGCATAACAATAATAATAATAATAATAATAAAAAACGATGCGTGTTAATAGCCGTTGGTTAATAACTTAACGTATAGGTAGTATTTTGTGTTTAGAAATATTAAAGTGATGAATATTGTAGAAATGTTAATATTGGTATTAGTTTTGGTTTAAATTATGAAATCAAATAAC